TGCTAAATGGGCATCGCTAGGTGGTATGGTGAATAAAGTTCTCGCCTTATATGTGGAATTTGATCGTTTATTGTTCATATGATATGACAGTTTGCATGTAGGATTTCATGGTTGAGGATGTACTTGTGAGTAGATATGATTGTCATAGTGCATTTGCCATTGATGTTGATTTGATATGAGCATGCTTCTTGAGGGGCTTATGATAGTTCTAATGCTATAGTTTTATATATTGGGAGGAAATAAGAGGTAACGTTGCTGATGAAAAATGTTAATTAGACAAGGTTGTTGTTAGTTTGAGGTGCACTTATCATTGAATCTTGCAAAAACTGGTTGCTATCAAAGCACCTCTATCTTTTTGTTATTTGGCTTACCATTGTTGTAATTTTGCTTGGTAATGTTGTAACTATATAATGTGAAAATAATGGCAACTTGTCATGAAATTTCTGATTAGCAATTTATAAAAATTTAAGATTTTGTGTTAAATTGACAATTTCCACAATTCCTTATCGAATGACAAGTTTAGTAGCGCATATGACAAGTTCTGATAAGCATTTCATAGAAATTTAAGTTTCTATATCAAAATGACAGAATTTTCACAATTCCTTAGTGAATGACATGTTTAGTAAGACAAATAACAACTTCATATAAGCAATTCATAGAAATTTAAGATTCTGTGTTAAATTGACAATTTTCACAATTTTTTGGAAAATAACAAGTTTAGTAAGGCGAACGACAATTTCTGATAAGCAATTCATACAAATTTAATTTTCTCTTTTTAAATGACAATTTTCATATTTATTTAGCAGATGATAAATTCTGATAAGTAATTCATGACAAGTTTACTTAGGCGAATGACAAGTTTAGTAAGGCAGATGACAAGTTCTGATAGGCAATTCATGACAAATTTACTTAGACGAATGACAAGTTTAGTAGGGCAAATGACAACCTGTGACAATCAAGTCATACAAATTTAATTTTCTCTTTTCAAATGATGGTTTCCACATTTATTTAGCAAATGACAAGTTCTGATAAGCAATTCATGACAAGTTTAGTTAGGTGAATGACAATTTTAGTAAGGCGAATGACAACTTCTAATATGCATTTCATACGAATTTAATTTTTTCTCTTCAAATGACAGAATTTTCAGATTTCTTTAACAGATGACAAGTTCAGTAAGGCAAGTGACAGAATTTCTATGTTTCTATCACTACATTTTTGTCACCACATTTTTTATTAAGTAGACAACATTAAATAGCTCTACATTATTAATGATTGTATAGTTGTCAATGATTGTATGTTGAATGTTTTGCAGAACTTAGTAAGTGATTTGCTTAGTTGAATGCAATAGTAAAGTTTGAGGTGTACTTGCCACTGAATCTTGCAAAAAATGGATGCTATCAAAGTACCTCTGGTTTTTTGTTATTTGGCTTACCATTTTTGTAATTTTGGTTAGTAGTGTTGTAACTATAGACTTGTTACTATGATGGCAGAACAATGTTAACATTTTATATTTATCAGTTCTAAATGGCAATAATGCAAATCTATTTAATGTTCTAAAGTTAATAAGAAACCCAGTCGTAGACTTCTAATTTTGCTTACCAAAATTATTATTTAGCTTATCACTCTTGTTATCTAGCTTACCACTCTTATCATTTGACAGTGAAATGTGAAAATAATGATAGCTTTTCACAAGACTTAATTTCATTAGAAACCCAATCACAGGCTATAACAATGGTTACATTGAAAATAATAATATTCTTGTTACTAATAACAAAAAACTAGTGTGTCTATGACAACAACTATTTTTGCAATACTAATAGAATATTCTTCTCTTTCCTATAAGGATATTACATTTAATCAAGTTTGAACTTGGGAATTTTTCACTTTCTTGTTCAAGCATAGCAAGGGTCTCAACAGAATAATAATGGTGGCTACCAAGATGATGAAGATGACCTTTTTGCTGGTGTAATGGATGATGCTTCTCTGTTCTATGCAGACGATGACTTCTTGTCTTCCAAATTTCTCATGCATGTCATTTTGTTCATGTACATCTTCTCCCCTGGCAGTCATAGTCAAAACATATCACATGGGACATCATATGCACATAGTTTGTAGTTACAACACTTGATGAGAAATAACAACAATGTTATCACTGATAATAAAAAAACCAGTATGTTTGACAACTATTTTTTGCAATATTCACAGGGAAGAACTGTTAACCATATTGCCATAATGTACAAAGCTACATAACCAAACTCTGTAAATAACAACTTAAGTTATGGAAATAACAAGTTAAATTTTGGAGCAAACACATTAAGTACAATGTTGAAAATTACAACTTAGGTATTCAAAATAACAACTTTGCACTCGTAAATAACAAGTTCACTTATGCAAATAAAAGTTAACAAGTTCACTTAGGAAAAACAACCCCACAGTTACAAATAACAACTTCCATGTTTGAAACAACAAGTATTGAAAATAACAACTTAACTTTAGTGATTATAATTAACTTCTCTTAATAGATCTTTTCAAACTTGACAGATGCAAACATATAATGTTCTTTCTCTTGACAGGTCTTTTATCTTGACAAATGCAAACATCTCAACTTGTTCAAACTTGACACACCTATCAATAATATTTTAATCTAGTAACAAATCATCAGTCCATGGGCAAAGTTTTCATTCTTATCACTAGATGTGAGGGGGGAAGTTACAATGTTAGTATCGACTCAACATATAATATCCAAAGTTATGGTGCCATGCCTCTAAAAAACTTCCTCTATTATTAAAAAGGCTTTCTTTCTTACTATCATTTGTTTTTTGGCAAAGTCACGAGTCCCGTAGATATTAAATTGATATGCCATGGTATGATTATCAAATCCAAAACCCACACAATATAAGAATAGAAGGGTGAAGAAGAAACAGGGGAAGGATGAATTAGGATGTAGAGAAAAACTAATACCTCTCTATGAGTGATCCTCTCCACATTAATCTTCCCTCTTGAAAAAACATTTCTTTTGTGCTTCTTCTTTCTTGCCTTCTTTCCTTGCCCGTTCACCGGCATCCAAATCACCATTAGAATTGAAATCGCCTATGATGCGCCAATGATGCTTATGTGTCTTTTTGAGATGAATGTGGTCAGAGGGGGAAAAGGAGATGGTCACAGCTATGTAAAATCCTTAGCCACAGGACCAAAATGAGAAACAGAAGAAGTGATGGAAGCATATCAGCGTTATATTTCAAAAGGAAGAGGATGTGAGAAAGAGGACGTTTTAGTCTTTTCTTCAACATTTCATAATTTCAATTTAAGACCCTGCCTCCTAAGGCAACTAAGTTAATTTAGGAACCCATTTCGCCATTTCGTATATTTAGGGGTCTTTTTTGGTCATTTCCCCATAAAAATATGCTTAGACTCATTCCACAATTTTAAAACAAGCAACAATAGGTTATATTAATGAAAAAAAAATTCTTAGAAATAAGTTCCCCTAAGAGTCAATAAAAGGTATTAAAAGTTAAAATATCAGCTAATAAATTCTACTCTTGATATAATAATATAAATTGATTTAGTTATATTATATTTAATTATATATAATAATATAAATAAAATCAATTTAAATTATATTATATATAATAATATAAATGAAAATAAACAGGTCAAGCCTGTAAGCTCGTAAGCCAGGCCTAAAGCATTACTTGTTTACTTAAAGAGGTTTATAAATTGATCTAAGTCTAACATTAACCTATTTATTAAACAAGCCAGGTTAGGCTCAAAATCAATGATTAAAGAACCGGACTGGACCGGACGGTCAGACCGGTTGAACCGTCACCCGGACTCGTTAACGGCTCGGTTTGGACCAAAAAACCGTTCATATAGTTGAGCCGGATTGGACCGGAGTTGAGCCATTATTAAGCCGGAAACCGGAGTTGGTCCGGGAACCGGAACGGTTTTCAGAAAACCGGACGGTTTTTTAGCCTGACTGAAAAATACTAAAAAATTTTCAAAAAATAGAAGAAAAATAAAAAAATTGATCCCTTAAATATCCTAATATATTTTTAGACTAGTTATAACCATATAGTATTATTTCATTGAAAATTTCATATATTGTGGTGTTAAAATCGTGAGTCGCTAGTCTTTTTGTTTCGATATTTGATCTATCTTTTAAAAAAATATTTTGATTTGAATGAATTGATAATTTGTAATATCATTAAATATTTTAAACATACATAAAATTAAATATATAAGGTTTTAGTCCATTTTCAATGATTTTATTATAATTTTAGATTATTTAAATGCATTTCTAAATTATTTAATAATTTGATATTTTTCATATATACTAATTATATGCATATAATATTTTTTTAAATTAATTATTGCGTCACCGGTCTGACCGAACGGTCCGACCGATCCAACCGATTGAACCATGACCCGTTGATCTTTCCGGTTCGACTTCCGGTCCGGCTTTTAAAACATTGCTCAAAATAGATCAGGTCATAAGCCTTAACCTACTTTCACCCCCCCCCCCCCCAAAAAAAACAATAAAAATGAATGTCTATGAATCTAGCGGGAGATATCAGGGGGAAGGGGGTAACGAGTGTACCGCTGGAAACACAGATTCCTCATATCGTAGTCATTTTTCTCTTTAATTAATTAATCTATATAAGGATAGGCTTGCCGATTATACTAGGGTGATAAAGTTACATTAACTCTTGTGCATAATTTCACCCAATGTCTAACAATTTTTTCCGGGGATAAATGACGAACAATTTTTGAGTATTCCATAAAAACTCTCAAGTCAAACTTTTCTTCTGTATGACCCAAAAAAAAAGCACTACTTTTCACTTGAACTGGCACTACCATCGGATCACTCTTAAAGAAATTATTTGCACATAACTTCCAAGTGAGTCACTAGATAATGGATTGCCACCAGAGTTTACTAGAATTTCAATCCTAGCAAACTCATACTAGCATATTTAAATTTTCTTTCAAAGATTATGCCCAGATAATAAAACAAAGAATGATTAAAAAAAATCAAGTATGATCTATTAGCAAATTATTACTTACATTTCAGTGCAAATCTAATCGCAAGAAAAATGAGCAAATGCCGCAAAATTTTGATCAAGCCTAAGCTGACCGTCCGACTCTGCACTCTAAACCCTTGTCTAGTTAACTATCACTGCACTAAAAGCGTTAATATATATATATATATATATATATATCATACTTCTCTGTTCCCTCCAAAGACTTCTTTGTAGGATTGTCCTACAGGCTTATGGCATATCCTATGAGTGCATGGAATTTAACAACTTCAAAGCCAAGGCTTCTTGCTCCTCCAAAGTAACAGGCTTAGAGATAATACCCTCTTCCCCTCCTGCGACTTCAGTTCCTTTAGTGTCATCATCACTGTCGCTATCAAAATATATCTTGCTCTTTTTATGCCTCCTTCTATCTGCAACTTCATCTCCATCTTCTGACCCAGAAATGTCATCATCATCCTCTTCAGCACCTCTTTCCTTCCACTTCATCTTTTGCTTGATTTTCTTCTCTCTTCGACGCTGTTGTTGCACAAGCTTGTCTTCCTTGTCAACCTTTTTCAACTCCTCACGCATCTTTCTGTAGTATTCAGCTTTTTGCTCTGCAGGAAGATGAGAATTTAATTTGATATGCAGCAAAATAAACAAGACGGTCATTCTACATGCCAGAGAACATATAAACAAGTTGAGTAAACTCCATGATATAAAGTGAAATTGAGACGCATATTATTGTTATTAGAACCATAGGAGGTTTGGGTACAATCAGGCTGCTAGGAACAGAATAGTTTACCAATCATATTACATATATGTTGCATCACAATCAATTATTAACACATTCAAAGGAGCTTCTGATAATTAATTGTTATAAATCTTTTATAATTAATTTTATAAATCATATTCAAGAAAATCAATTTTATAAGTCAAGAAAAAAAAATGAAAATCTGTAGTTTTGACTCAATTGTAATTCAGTCTTTGAATTTTGACCCAATTTAATTCAATCGCTATAGCTTCAACTGCATAAAATTTTAGCCCTTAAGCTTCATGAAATATATAATTTTATTTTCGAAAACATAGAGGCTAATATTTTAAATGGTTAAAACTATAAAAACCAAGTTGCATTGAATCAAAATTAATGGACTAAATTGCAACAAACTAAAAACTATAAGAATTGAGTTACAGCAAGTTAAAGCTTAGAAACCAAGTTATAACTAAGTCAAAATTATAAGCATAAAAAAATTAATTTTCCCATAAATCAATTTTATCCAAAATTTATTATTAACACCGTTAATCCAAACACATATTGTAGATTTGCTCTCCCGCATCTGAATCTCATCCAACTTTTTCTTTTTGCTTTCGTACTTTTAAGCCCAATACTTTTAAGTCCACAGTTCGGCATTTAATGTTAGATTCATGGAAAAGCTACTAATTCAATGATGTAGGCCTATCTTCCAGCACCCATATTTCTTCCGTTTAATCAAACTCCCCAAAAAAAAAAAAAAAAAAAAAAAGTCAAAGCCAAATAAATGATAAATAAGCTAGTGTTATTAATCATCAAGATTCAAGATTGGACAGCCAGAAATGAGATGTCTGATACTCATAGCCTTCAGCAAATATGACAGACATATAAACATGAAGCATTATTCCCATTATTCTGGCTTTAATTTGCAATTGAAGAGAAAGGACAAACCTGGATCAAGCAGCAATGTTTCCTTGCCAGTCTGTGTATCAGCAATTCTCGCCAGTGGAGGAAGAGCATTACCTTCATCATCAAATACAACCCTAGTCCCCATTGGTCTATGTATGTTGATCTTGAGCTTCTTTTTCTTTGAAACACGGGTTGGTGGTCTATAAAGCAAGTCATCAAATCAAATAAGTTGGTTTTACAAGCCAAAAGACAACATGCCAACAGGAAATATCAGAAACCCCTCTACCAAATAATAATTTTGACAAGCCATCCAAATTTAATATGTGCAAGGTCAAATTGTTCATTCCGTCTCAAATAATAAGCATTGTTTATCATTTGTGCATGTAGGATATAATGCAGAAATTATAAAGGAATCTAAACTTTCTTTATTTCTCTAGTACGTAGATTTTGTAATGGTACATACATGACATCTACAATTTCTGGTGCTCTCCCTTCCCTTTCATCAGAGGAATCGTCTGGCAAAAGAAGACCTTTTTCTTCTTCTTCTTCCTCTTCCTCTTCCTCTTCCTCAGGACCATTAACATCCAGATTCTTTCTTGGAACCTCTAATGTAATTTCTCTGTCAGAATCTTCTGGTTCAGCTAAAACTGGTTTTGCTGGCACAGCTTTAGATTTAATTTTTTGGTTAAGAAATCGGGTTTTGGGGGTCATGGGCAGACCTAATGATGCTGAATATTCATCAATCGGCAATTTCATAAGATCAAAGATTTCTTTATCCTTCTGGATATGAATGGATCTCAAATATGTTATGAAGGCCCTTTTTGCCCATTGCTGGAGGTCTGGGTACTTGACCAGTAATGCTGCTAATAAACCAGAAACTGGCTGCAGTTTTTCCTTCCTAGGCTGAAAAATCAGCAGTTTAAAAGGCATGTTAGCAAAAACTAGATAAAATGCGATGTCAATAAGCAACCATAAAAAAATGCAAAAACATAAAATGCATTGAAAATTACTCCTATGCAATTGCTTATGGCCAATGGCAATAAACATCAGTGAGTAGTGATTAAGGGATTAACCATCAATTAAAACTAAATTCAGCAATATTCTTTATTAATAATATTTCTTCCATTGTTTTAAGCATGTGATTTCTGAGGTTAAAAAAAAAAAAAAAAAGCATTTGATTTCTACTTCCTTTTACAGTTGAAGACTATATTTTAGTCTCAGCAATGAAATAAAAAATCTGTATGTTATTCATCTCCCTCCTTTCTCTCCCTTTTCCTCTATTTCTCTCTACCTCGTCCCACTTCTCCTATTTGTCCAATGATGGTATTACAGCTGTGTGCCTTCTGTTATTCTGTTATTCTGTTATTCTAAAAGTATACTATTAGTGTGCATAATCTGTTATTTATCATGTGTTGGATATGCTCATAAGCCAAAGTACACGGCACCCATATACTAAACCCTAAAACTAACCTCATTATATAATGCAGTTGATGTGAATGAGGCATCATTGCAGCAATATTCTTCTAAGGTGTTATATGCTCTTTTTTCTGTTACTCTCCCTTTCGTCGTGGTTAATGTTCATTATTGATATTTGTAATAACTTGTAAATCAGGGATTTGACCACAAATAAGGTTAAATTCAGGAATAGGTTTTACACTTGTGCCTTTAGTTTCTTAGGCTGTGGACTTCACATTCAGTTCTAATCAAGACACCGTTCATCTCCCTTTCCCCCGTTTTCCTCAATTTCTCTCTAGCTCTTCTCTCCTTCTCCTGCGGATGCCAGAATCATAGGCAAATAGTTGGTTTACAAAGCAAGAATGGCATACCTTATTAAGATGTACCGGAACTTTAGCTGCTTCTAATTTTTCAAGCATTTTCATCTCTGAAGGCATCAAAAATAAAACTGATCTACCCCCGGACTTGTAGCGAGCAGTTCTCCCAACTCTGTGTATGTAAGATGCTACGTTTTCAGGACAATCCACCTACAGGTAAAAGACACAAGCGTCAACCTCCACCTATAAAACAAACTTCTTCCTTCCTCCACCCACTCCCTTTCTATCCAACTCATAAGGCAGAAACAAGGGGCCAGATACAGGAAACATACCTGAACAACCCAGTCAACTGCCTTATTAAAATCAAGCCCTCTTGCAGCCACATCAGTTGAGAAGAGTACTGAGCGCTTCTCACAAAACTCAGAATATATTCCCATTCTTCTTTCCTGCTTCATCCTCCCATGAAGACATTTCAAGGGTATGCCAGGACGAAGTTTCTTAAATGCTTCAAAAACAAATGTTACCTAAAACCCAGGAGATGATTGTCATGAAAGAAATTGAAAAAACGTAAATTTTCTCAAGAAACACAGATGAAAGTAAATCCAACACAAAACAATTAGATTCAAACAGATTACCTGTTTACAGCTAGAGAGAAAAACGAGTATTTTGGAGTTTAGATGTGACTTTATGAAACTCCACAACATATCTAACTTTTGGTCCAGAGGAACAATCATCACAAGCTGTCTCAAGAGAGTAGGGGTGGCAGTCACAGACTCTTGATGGACACTCAGATACTCTGGGTCCTTTAAACTTAGTCTTGCAAGAACTTCAATAGATTTCGTTTGAGTTGCCGAGAAGAGTAGGGTTTGTCTATGCTTTGGAAGCTGTGATATTATCGCATTTAGTTCCTTCTTAAATCCACTGTCAAGAATCCGATCTGCCTCATCTAGCACCAACACCTGTATACCAACAGACATTATCAATCCAATCATGATATACATTGAATAGAATATGTTACCACACATCTGTGAGCAAATATTTGGACCGGGACTCAAAGTTGAACTGAAAAGATAATGATTAAAGAAACACTATTAATCAACATAGTTTTAAGTAGGTTTTGCAGCAAAAGTTAAATTGACAAGAAATAAAGGATGCCAATACTAGGAAAGACGTATAGATCTAATGCTTGAGATAATAAAGTAGCGGTAACATAATTCTCATTTGCTTTTTCCCCCAGCAATGCCTCTGGATTATTTACTCCACAGAAAAGAAAAATAAGAATTATAATCACCTGAATCTGTGAGCAATCAAAATTTGGAGTTTCATCCATGTGTTGTAGAAGGCGACCAGGTGTGCAGATCAAAATGTTCAGATCATTTACGTGTTCTTTCTCCACATTAACTTCCTTGCGACCACCAATCAGCAGGCCAGCACTGAAATTATGGTGCTTACCAACACTTTTTAAAACATCAAACAGCTGACTAGCTAATTCTCTTGTAGGAGATATGATGATGCTGCCTACCCCATCTTCAGGGCCCCACTTCTCTCTATATAACTTTTCCAAGACCTGTCAATAACAATAAAGTGCATACCTGAAGAAAGGGGGAAAATCCTTTTGTAGCTTTATTTATGAAATTCAGCAAAAGATCAAAAGCTTCTTTCCCAGAAATTGTTTTTAGTAGATAAGCATGATCCTAAAATCATTTACAGAAGCAAAGGAAGAACCCATCGTAATTGGTGAAATTACGATGGCATAGGTGGGAGAACACTTGTACAATATTTCAACCATCAATGACATTGAAATCACAATGAGATTTTTGCAACACAGATGAATATTTATTTCAGATTCTGCTATGCTTCACGCATAATTTGACTAAAAAGCTGTCACTACCCAACCCATTTGAAAACACCAGTCACTTTTGTCCTCTGTTTTCTTCATATGGTACTTTCTTGTCAGAGCCATACCCACCAAAAATCATAAATATGATGTCATCTAAAACATTCTGGTTTGCATATTACTGAATATGTCATGTCACACAGAGGAAAAGAAACTTTATGACTGCTTTAAGCACTATGTGCTTAGGAATCTTATTATGTATAGTGATACAATCATGCTAGTTAACTAATAAAAATCAAATTTCTCCAACAAATTCTCATTCCATTACACAAAGCAAGCTGTGCAAGCTTGAATCAAGTGAGGTTGCTTGAATAATTATACAAGAAAATTAGTACTATTTCCTTTGATTGGATCCATCTTTTCACCAAACTCATTGGAAGCAGAAAACTTTCTCCTTTTGTGAAAGAACTCGAATGGAAAAAAAAGATTGAGGTTTAAGAATTACCACACTACTCCTGCTTCGGGGGGAAAAAAAAAGAATTAATAATAATAGCAAAAGGATAACAAACTTTTACATTATGCTACCCTTACCGGAACAATGAAAGCCAAGGTTTTTCCCGACCCAGTTTTAGATGCACCCAAAATATCTCGCCCACAAAGTGCATGGGGCAAAGATGCCCTCTGTATGTCGGTCATCTTAACAAACTTGGCTTCTAACAATCCATCCTTAGTTTTCTTGGAAATTGGCAACTGATCAAACCTCGTGACACCCGCATATCGCGAGAATGTATTGCTATCAATGCAACCTATAGGCTCTTTGGAGGACAAAGGGGGAAATGACATGGGGTTGGATCCAGAGTCTGGTTTCTGGGATTGAATCCATGAATCCAACAGTTTAATCTCATCTTCCTCTGCAAGCCGTTGCTGCTTGTGTAAGCGCCTTGATTTGGGTTTTCTCATTGCTAGGAACCTGAGGAGAAAGCAGCTGAATACGATCAATGAAATTTGCACAGCTAGGAAGAGAACTCTTTGGGGGAAAAAACAAATAAAAGGAAAGTTATGAACACACGATGATAAAAGTGCAGTGAAGATAAACAATCATAACTCAATAGCTTTGGCTGCTTCAGATTTTAAATACCATGATAAGCGTATTTATTGCAGCAGCGCAGAGCACAGAGCATAAAGCATGAAAGGGGCACTAAGCAGTTGATATAACGGCTGCCAACTACGTTTGAATATTCCTTAACTTGTACACGTCTTGACCCTCAATTGTAAAGATAGTCAAACTTGTTTTAAACAGATAGCAGAAAAAATCAGCGTGGTGCCAAATGAAACATTCTAGAACCTAATAGTACAAGAAGAAAGCATATTTAGGCTCGGCCAAGCAACTTGAATTTCACATAACTTTTCAGGATTAAAGATACACCAACTGAAAATGATTTCCAGAATACTGCATATTAATTCATATTTCAATCACTCTGTCTAATTGAGTTTCACAATTGCAGAAGGTTATCTATGACGTTGGAATACTGACAGATGCATGAAAAATTAACATCGATTGAAAAGTACCATATCGTTAGGCTTAACAGCAAGGCTGCCTCCACCTATTTCTAGCATAGTTAATGCTGGATATATTACTTCTTAAACAATTAACTAAACTAAAAGAAGGTAGAAATGTTTGCTGCAATTCAAACTCTATGCGCGCAAAAAAACAAGGATGGACCGAATAGGGATGATGTAGACAACAAACTAAAGAACGAGAATGAAGAACATAAGAATCAATCAGATAAAGAAAACGAACTCAGAGACTCACCTGAATGGAGAACTGAATACGGCGACGAGAGTGAACGACGGACCAGGCAGCGGGGCCGGTGGCGGCGGCGGCTGCAGGAGGAGCACTTGCGACTGGGCTAGTGGCGACCAAGCACGAACGAGAAGAGCGGCTCAAGAGAACGAACAAAAGGTGTATTAGTGTTTTTAAGAGCGAAGGGCAACACTGGAATATTGAAAACTCCTCATGGGCAATTTTGACATGATGGAAGGACAATTTTTCTCCCTTCCAAGAAAACCTCGGAAAAGAGAGGTAGAAGTGGGGAGCTGATGACAAACAGATACAAAACTTTTCCCTCTCTTCCCTTCCATCTTTCGAAACCAAAACACACTTTCCGTCGCCTCCACTCGAAAAAAAGCACCACCAAACACTAAATATGTAGGTGCTGTCAAAAAAAAAAAAAAAAAAACACTCTATTTATAAGGCTTTGTTTGGTTCAATAGAATGAAAGGGAGGAGAGAGAAGGTTACGAGGGTTGTTTGGTTTGAAAGGAAGAGAACAAAGAAAAAGTTTCTTGATTGGTTCAGAAATGAAGAAGATGAGAACTAATTATAGATTGATAAATATGTTCTTATTTTTTTAATATTTTATTTTCTATTTATGTCAAAATTATTATTTTCTAATGGGAAAACCATATTGAAGGTACCTATACTTTCTCTCAATTTTTAATTTGGTACCTATGTGTTTTTTTTCCTTTAATTAAACATTTAATTTTATCTTTTTAGCAACATTAGCTCTTATAACTTTGTTCTATTGATATTTTTAGTCTCTACATAAGGATTAATGATGTTAATAGAGGAAAAATAAAGATTTAGTTAAGAACAAAAAACACATAGGTACCAAATTGAAAATTAAAAAAAAGTATAGGTACCTCCAATATGGTTTTCCCTTTTCTAATTTATGATTATAAGAAAACAAGTTATCTCACAAGTATAAAATATTTACGCATCTATAAAATAAATATATATTATAAAAAATATATACTTGTCATACTATATTAAGAAAAATAGAACAATCATGATAAGAATATTATATCATCACTATCAAACATCATTTAAAAGGGTTTTTCTTACAAAATAAAAGATAAATTTGGAATTTTAAAAGAGTAGTGGCTTAGTTAAAAAAAAAAAGATTTTTACTGAAAAAGATAAATTTAGAATATTTAAAATTTGACATGAATAATTTAGTTAACGCAAGATATAATATTTTTCTCTCCTTAAAAAATTCCAAATTTAAAACGGAGCAGAAGAGAAAAGTACCAGAAAACAAAATTGTTTTCTTGGGCGGCTCTACTTAAGACTACTTTTTTGAACCAAGTATAATTTCTCATCTTTTCTTTCTCCCTTCCTTCCAAAGCCTTTCAACCAATGTTTTAAGAACCGGACCGGACCAGACGGTCGAACCGGTTGAACCGTGACCCGGACTCGTTAACGGCTCGGTTTGGACCAAAAAACCGTTCATATAGTTGAGCCGGATTGGACCGGAGTTGAGCCGTTATTAAGCCGGAAACCGGAGTTGGACCGGGAACCGGAACGGTTTTTAGAAAACCGGACGGTTTTTTAGCCTGACTGAAAAAATACTAAAAATTAAAAAAAAATAGAAGAAAAATAAAAAAATTGATCCCCTTAAGTATCCTAATATATTTTTAGACTATTTATAACCATAGAGTATTATTTCATTGAAAATTTCATATATTGTGGTGTTAAAATCGTAAGTCGCTAGTCTTTTTGTTTTGATATTTGGTCTATCGTTTAAAAAAATATTTTGATTTGAATGAATTGATAATTTGTAATATCATTAAATATTTTAAACATACATAAATTTAAATATATAAGGTTTTAGTCCATTTTCAATGATTTCATTATAATTTTAGATTATTTAAATGCATTTCTAAATTATTTAATAATTTGATATTTTTCATATATACTAATTATATGTATATAATATTGTTTTAAATTAATTATTGCATCACCGGTCTGACCAAACGGTCCGACCGATCCGACCGATTGAACCATGACCCGTTGATCTTTCCGGCTCGACTTCCGGTCCGGCTTTTAAAACATTGCTTTCAACCAAACATAGCGTAAAGCTCGATCCCATCCAAACCCTCAGCTTCTCCTCCTTATACTACTGTCGTTCAACTCCCCTTTCTTAGATTCAAAACTCCCTCGAACGGTGCGTTGCAGGCTGTGGCCTGTAGGAAAAGAAAAGAAAATAATGAAAATAAAATAAAGCAAAACTGAAAAGAAGAGAAAGAGGAAGAGAAAGAAATAAAAGGGACTGAAATAAGATCAGGTGGAATAAATAAAGTAACATCTTTTAGTTCTTAAAATTATTTTTAAACAACTTTTATTTATTTTAAAACTATGAAATTTATTTATATAAAAATTCTTCCGTTAATGCTTAAAATTAATTTCTCTTATATACCCTTAGAAATCATTCAAAATTGCAATTGAATACTTTTCAAATATATTCTTTTTTCTTGGTCTCGAGCTCAGAACCTCCAAATTAAATCCTCATGTATTTATCATGAAGGCTAAATTTGTTGGTTTTTCAAATATATTCTTTAAATATGCTAAAAATGGGGAGTCATTACTCCCCGTAATTGCCTCAAATATTGTGCTAAAGACTTTAAATGGAAAATCCAACCAAAAAAAATGCCACTTCAATTTCAAAATTTCAAAGTAGGAATTTTTTTAAAATATGTTGTCATTTTCTTTTCAAATATAATCCATTGTTATTAAAATGTAGAGAACAATATTGATTTGAGATTTTAAAATTCAATACAAACTTTCAATAATTTGGTTTTAAAAAAAAAATTCACCTTCTGAAAATGCAAGTAGCAAGACAAATCGCTGAGCAAGATAAACCACCATTGGACGTCCTCCACTGGACAAATATATGCTCTCAACTCTTATGATGCTTATGTTTTACTTATTTCTACTCATTGTAACCCGTTTACAATAGGCTTGTATATCATTTCAATCTCCGCCATATTATTTCATTGCACGCTGAAATCAAAAAGACTTCTCAAGAATTATAATAAAATAAGTAAGATAATGAATGGAATGTGCAAATTAAGAAATACTTTAATAAGTGCCAAGCATTTTGATGAAAAACACAAGAATGGAGTCCTAACTTCAAGAAAATAACTCTTATTCTCCCCCTTTTCCCTTTTTTTATGCATTTCTCTCTTTTTTTTCCTGTTTTTTTTTCACTATCATACCTTTTTTCTCCTTTTATTTTTCTTTTCATTCACTCTTTCACGTACATATTTCTTTTCTTTTTCACTATTTACACAAATCCACACAACATTGCCTTTTCTTTTCAATTCCTTCATGTTTTTTTCCAAATTATATTACTTAACAGCTTACTAAAGTAACAAATGGGAAAGAAAAAGAAAAATTGCCTCAATTCAAACAAATTAAAGGGCTATCTAATCCATACGATTTTCTTTTTAAAGAAAGTTAAAGATCAAATGGGTGAAAGAAAGAATTCATGTGAATAGGTTGGACATTTGGCCCAAGTGGCTAAGAGAATGAATACCTTCACTTTTGTGCATGCAAAAGAAATTTAAATTTCAAAAGAGATTTAAGACAAGTTTTGGAGATGAAATTACAGTAAACGTACCCGTTCTTGAAAAAAAAAATTAAAACTCAAGCTCAATTCCTCATAAATTTTTGTTTTCTAAAGTTATTTACTAACATTCTAGAAAGGAACATAATTATTAAAAAAAAATCTCAGTGGTAAAGAGCAACTTGCATTGACAAGTTTCAGTATAGGAAATGATAACCACTCACTTATCATTAAGATTTTTTTGGCAATTATGGTGAAAGAAAGGATTCACGTGAATAGGTTGGACATTTGGCTCAGGTGCCTATGAGAGTGAATGCCTTCATTTTTGTGCATACAAAAAAATTTAAATTTCAAAAGAGATTCAAGACAAGTTCTAGAGATGAAATTACAATAAATGTACCCATTCTTAAAAAAAAAAAAAAACTTGGGCTCAATTCCTCATAAGTTTTTGTTTCCTGAAGTTATTTATTAAAACCAAAAAATTTTTGTTATTTACTAACATTCTAGAAAGGAACATAATTACTCAAAAAATCTTGGTGGCAAAGAGCAGCCTGTAATGACAAGTCAGAATAGAAAATGATAACTACTCACTTGTCATGAGGATTTTTTAACAATTATATTCCTTTTTCGGAAACTCATAGTAATTCTCCCTAATTTCTTTTTTTGATACACAATTCTCGCTAATTTCTAATAAAACACAATCCTTTTCAAGTTGAAACTAAACCAACATTAGTAATGTTCCCAGATCAAAATCAAAACTTTCAAGGAAAAAAAATTCAAACTTTTTCAAAAAATTTCTATATATACATAAAAATAAAGAAAATCTTCAAAATATGTATAGTAAAAAGTTGAGGACGTGTTTGTGCAAAACCAATGGATGACTCAAAACCAAAGGAAAAATGGTACATATTCTCAATGTGAATATGCGACTACAATCAACTAAAGGGGTGAAAGAGAAAGAAATCGTCACTCCCCTAAAACGGAAAGACATGAATAAAATCAAGATAACTAAAGAAAAATCACAATCCACCGATAATCATAACAGTCTCTATCCAAGTGCAGAATACAAATTCCTAAAGTCTCAAAACTTCATCAACTCAGCAAAACAAACTAGTATAATCACTAGCCAATATCAAAGATCAATCACGTACAAATGCAAATTAATTAGCAACATGTCATTTGCAACAATTGGAACAAAACAAGGTAAAGTAGAAGAAAACTCCATTTTTTGTTCTTGATTTGCACTCTGAATTTCTCTTGGTCTTTGTTGATAAATATGGAAAACAATGTCAAGGGATACAAAATTCCTACAAAATCAAAACAGAACACCAAAATAATTATATCAAAGACTTAACATGGTAACTAAACTACCAAAAGCTTGGGTTACCTCCCAAGTAGCACTAAATGTATAGTTTTCAGCCAGATTATCTTAGTAGTTAAGGAGGTTGGGCAAAACAGTGAATATTATTTGTTAATCCACTTCAACGCCATGATAATGTTTCAATCTTTGCCTATTTGCTTGAAAACATT